CCTTTTTTCTTTCTCAACCCTTCTCTTTACTAGCCAAATTAGTAGCAGTCTTAGCTGCACTCTTTATTTCGCCAATAAACACTGATGTGAATATCTTTACAGATTCACAAGCTACCATTTCCTTCTACTCAAAAATTAATTACTTTCTTACTTGTGCTTTTTACTTTCAACGTCCTATTTAAAATCTCATATTATCTTATTTGATGTTTACTCTTTCGTTTAATCAATAACAAAAATCTTACAATCACTTTTCATAAAGTTAAAGCACATACTAATGATCACTATAACAATAAAGTAGATAGGCTTACCAAATCAATAAGTCAGACTATAATAATTATACTATCTAAACTAGAGTGCAATTATATGTTTATGTTTGATGACCATGTTATCTTAACGCCATCAAGACACTTTGTCAAAACCTTTTCCAATCTATAGACTTTCACAATATTCAATTACTTTCATACTTTTAAAAATATTTCTCACTAACGTAGATTAGATCAGCACTACTTTTGTTCTTAATGATAATGAAAGGGTCCCAGTTACACCTCTTCCATACAAAAATTCAAGGTTAAACTCCTTTTAGAGTTCCTTTTGACACTCAAAGTACTTAAACGATATCATCCTACTTTGTATGATATATCATAGTCTTACCTTAAATATCTGACTAAAAACATTTGAACATATTTGGCAATACCTAACTACCTTACGTCAAATTAATGATATTATTTTAGATATCATTGCATTCTTATCCTAACATTTGTATAAGCTTAATCCACACTTTAACATTTTATATATCATATCTATAGATATCTAGAATCTCAGCTCAAATACCTTCTCATTTAACTTTATGGACTTTATCAAAGAAATAGTGCTATCAGCACTTTACACTAATTAATTAATAACAATTTACTTATTCTTAGTCTCTTATCCTTAACTTACTACTTTATACATGAGAAAATTAAATTCCTTTAGCTTAATCGCTACTCCTCATTTAATCAATTTGAGATTACTCATAATATTTTTCTCGCTAATCGCAAAGTTAATATTGCATCTACTAGCTTTCCTAATCTCATTTCCTACTCTTTTGACATCCCACCTGCATTTCACAAATCCTTTCACTTTGATTCTAATTGATCAAATTTTTGGATTAGTAGTAATTAGACCCTTGGTACTGGATGGTTGAGCCTATTTTAAACTATTTTAGAGTAGGTTAATCTGAAATGATGTAAGATTGATTTTGATTTAATTTTATTAAATAGAAATTTCTGTACTCTCTCATTTGTAATTTATAATTTTTTTTACTTTACTTTTAATAAAAATTATGCAGAGCTATCGCATGTTAAAATAAAAAATAAACTTAAAATATTTTAATATCTAATAATTATAAAAAAATAAAATAAAATTTTTAGATTTATCATATTATAATGTATCTAATAATAATATTTTTAAATTTTTAAAATTCATAATTATTAATATATATTAATTTTTCAATTTTTTAATTTTTAAAAATAATTTATTATTTAATAATTACAAAAATATAATTCTTTTTAGAGATCACTTAACCAAGAATTTTTACATATATTCAAAAGTTAGTTTATAAATAAAAACAAAAACTCCTTTTACAAACTTCTATTTATCTTTATTTTCTTCAAATTCTCTTATTTCAAAAAACAGTTTTTGCTAGTTCAAATGGTAATGATTTTTTGTTAAAATATTTTTTTCACCACTTCTCTTAGCTGTTTTTCTTGTATTTTCTTTTTTTTTTGTTTACAAAAGTAGGCATCAAAAGTATCCTAAATAATAATTAGAATTAATAATAACTTTAGATCAACCAATTGTACATGATGACTTTTCCTATTACTTTCATAAACAATCCATAATCTTTTTAGATCTCTGATGTTATAAAGCCTGCTAATTTTAGCAGAATTTTTTAATTTCTCATAACTGTAGATTTGAAATCTATATATACCTACTGGTGGCTATAATCTGAATTGATAAATATCTTAATATAAAAGTTTAAGAATATCAAAAAGTCTCTAATAAAACTTAATAATATAAACACTTCTGTGTTAGAAGATCACTGTAACTAGGAATTTACCAGAAAACTTAGCTAAGAACTTGTTGAAGTTGGATTTTTATTAACTTCTTTTTTGGTTTAATAATAATTTGAGTTACTTATTTTTGTATTAAATTTAAAATTAGGATAGGAATTATTGTTAAAATAAAGAGAGAGGCGTAGTAATAATTTAGTTATCATGCATTAAGAGGAACTTTATAGTAATTATCTACTGAGTATGATAGGACAACTGGTTAGTCTGAAGCTAGTAAAATTTTTAGCTTGCAAAATATTTTAAGTAGTTCAATTTATTTTTTTTTACTTTTGTACCTGGTTTTCAGGATTTTCATATATTAATTTACTGGATTTGAATTTTTTACAATAAATATAAGTATTACTACATCTTTAAAAAAAAATAATTACAAAAAATATAGAATTTAGTTTATTAGATTTATCACATTAAGATCTATTAAATAATAATATTTTTATATTTCTGAGATTGATAAATAGCAAGATATATGATTAAAAATTTTAATTTTTTTTATAATAATTTATTATTTATTTATCTTAATTTTTACTTAGAAAACATCATAAAATTTATTATAAAAGTATTAATTTTTTTAATAATATATTTTAAAATATTTAAAAATGATTGTAATTAATAAATAAAATTGCCTACAAATTTGTAGACAAACAGTTAAAGGGATAATAAGTATAATTAATTTTTTGTATTTTAAATATTTGATATTTTTATTTAATTTATCAAGTTATAATATTTTTAAATTAAACAATTTATAAATTTTTTTTATTTAATTTTGGTCTAAGTTTAATAATAAAATATATAGTTAATTTTTACATTTAATAAATTATTTAAAATACTTTGTTGTTTAAACTACTAAATTAAATCAATAGTTTATCAACTTTTTCAGAAAAATATATATATATATATATATAGTGTTGAAAATTATTATTAAAGTTTTTGATATTAATAAATTCATCAAATTTTAAGAGTAAAAAAGTATATACAACTTTATTAAAATAGTTAATTATACCTTCATTTTATATTACAGTACCTTTATAGTCATCCATGGTTTCGTTTTTTTCCTGTAAAAACTATAAAAGAAATTTTTTTTTTATTGGTTCCCGTGTATCAATGATTTCAGGGGGACCTTGGCTTTCCCGTAGGATGTAGAAAAAAAGGTCAACATCTACAAATATATTCATTTAATAAACTATTCTTTGATAATATTCTCTATATTGACCAATTTTTCTAAATTAATATTTTTCGGTCCCAAATATCCAAACCTGACCTTGACTTTAATTTTATGATACACTTTAATATTATGTCTATCAGTAGTCCAACCAACTTTATTCTCCGGCACCTCAATCTTCAAATTATACCACCATTCATTACGAGCGTTCAAATTACTTGATATCTGATCATCCAATATCTTTCTTTCCAGCACATAACCTTTGATAAATTTCGTATTCCCCGAAGCCTTAAATATGTGATACTCTTTTAATCCAGCAAATACTTCTTTTAATTTTAGAACTTTAAAGAATTTGAAGGCAAAATTTATGATAATAGGATTCCCAGGTCCAAAAGTGTTATAATCAACCGTGATATCATAACCTAAACCACGCTTTATAGCTTTCGGATCATCCCATTCGGTCCACCGAGTAGGCGCCGGTACTGGCATTGAACGATATCGGGTGATCGAACACATACATTTAACCGATTTCTTTGAACCTTTAAACTTCCAAAAATTCCGCTTCCTCTTAATTTTAGCGTTCACTTCATAATTAATCTGACCGATCCCGTCACTTAAATTCATCGATGGTGGCAAATTGTTAGGTAATGGAAGCTTAAATGGAAATTTAATGTTTGTAATCTTTTGATAGAACTCTTTATTTTGCCACAACAATAACGATCGATTCAGAATTTGATGTTCATGGATGTAATGGATTGTACGTGTTCGAACTTCATACGATTTGGTAGAAGAATTGTATGCGTTTTCGACGACTTGTTCGGTCCAATGGACGTATTCGGTGCCCGTGATAGATACTTCGATTCGTTTGGCTTTCAAGGGTTCATTTTCGGGGAATTGGAGGTGCAAGTTGCCGGCTACATATGAGTCGTTGATGCCTAGGAGTCCATGTTGAAATTTAGAAGCGTTTGGTACGTAGGAGAACCATACCTTTTCACTGGCTTGGTTGTATGAAGATTTTGGAGGCCGAAGTGTCATTTCAAAATTGGAAAAGGCTATTTTAAAAAAGGTTTAGGAGAGAAAAAAAAAAAAAATTACACATCTTTTTTTAATCAATCAACAGCCTTAAATAAACATGCGGACACAATCCACCTAAATTTGTGCATATATTGTTCAAAAATATTTGTACAAATTTCACAACGAAAAATAAAAATATTACAACAAAAAATTGTCTCACAAGGAAGTTACTCAGCTGAGTAGCGCAGCATAATCTCTGCCAGTTATAAATCTGACTTCTTATAATGGTCCGACCGGCATGCGTGGGACAAATTTTATTTTCGTCAAAAAAATACGTTTGTTGACAGTAAATAGAAGAGCCTACGAACGGCAGGTAACTTACGATACGCAGTACAACACTATATCGTCACAAATAAAATCAATGAAATACATACATTTGTTATTCAGTAACCGAACTATTTTTGAAGGGTGGACAATTATGTATTAAATTAGTGCCCGTTACAAAAAGTTTACGATGAATCATTGATAAGGAGCAAGGTCATTATTATTATTATAAGCAAAATATTTCTGAACGAAATGCATCTTCGAATGCCTAAACGTCAAAGGTGATCAGAACAATATATCTGACCAGTTCAGCAGTCCAAATCATTTGTTGACAAAGGCATTCTTTATTTAAAAGGGAATCTAACCACATTAAAATACATTGTAAAGTAAGAATTTCATTCGCAAGTTTTCACTTTACTAGCGATCCAAGATTCTAGCGTATCGATATTAACTTTACCCATCGCCACACCCAATAAAATATGCTCAGCAGAATCCTCATCCGCAACTAAATCGTAACCATTAAGAAGTAAAAACGTAGAAATAGCAAGATGACCGGCTCTCTTATTCCCATCTAAAAATGTATGATTCTTAATAATACTTTCTCCGAGTCCGGCAGCCATTTTAAACAATGATGTTTTATCGTAAAAGAACATGAACTTTGGCCTTAGTAAAGCGGACTTTAACAAGCCAACGTTCATAACATACTGCTGTTGACCCAAATCTTTCAATAATAAACCATGTACGACAATAAAGAGGTCCAAGTCCAAATCGCACCACGTTGACTCATAATCATTGTGGAGATGCTCGGTAGAATACCTTTTGGAAGGAGCCGTCACTGCTTTCACTTTTCTCGCAATCTCAAATAAAGGTTCCAATTTTTGCGGATAACATATCTGAATGCTTCTCTTTGCATATCTTGCGAAGCGTACAGGCTAACGTAAAATACGCATATGAGTACGAGTTAACGGAACGAAGTCACTCAATTATGACCAAGGTAGCTAAACACCTGCTATTTCTTTCCAAGTTTTTATATCTGAAAGACGACCATACGCGGGAGGTAATGGATGACTGGAGCGTCCTGGCAAACCTTACATACATTAAATAGGGTAAATGATACATGTCATGAAATAGAAAGTAAATAGGCTCAATACTTACGATTGAAGAAACCAACCCATTGCGGAAGGAAACGCATTGAAAAGAGTTTTTTTTTTTTTGTCGTGTTCCGAATCACTTGATCATACAATCATTTTACAATCATAATTACTCAGAATTACTAATTATCAGATGCCCATAACCCGTCCGAAGAATTTATTCCCACGGGTATGCGATCCGAAATCAGTTTCGGGATTTGAAACCTGAAATAAATCAAACCTTTGTTTGTTATTCACATCATGACAATGCATGAATATACTTTAATTGTTTGATTCAAGGATTTATAGTGAGACGCAGTAACATCACCATGTGGCTTCTTTATTGTAGGAAGGATAATAAAAAAGATTACTATAAAAAAGTATGAAGATAAAAAATTTCCTTTTCAATAATAATCTTTTGACGGCAAATTTTGCCACGTTTGATATATTGAACGGATCAAATTTTCCTATACTTCCACAAATGTTAATATTCATATCATTGGATACCAAAGATTTTATTAAAAATTAAATATTTTGCTCCTAAAAGATTCCAGTGAATAAGGATGTTCCAAAAGAGAAGAACAAAAGTTGATCTTCGCATCCATCACCTGTTTCGGGTTCAACGAAAAAATTTTTAATCTTTGTAGTGCCACAGGTCATACGACAAAATTAGGTCGATACATGTAAACTTTTTTTCGGCCTTTGAAGAATTATGATTAGATAATCATCATCTAGAATATAATTTATTACAAGTATATAAAAAGTTAGAATAGGATGTGGCGAAAGTTCAATTATCACCTGATTTGATTGATTAAATGAGAATTAATTTTCCTAAGACCCGCAGTATTATATTCTAATATTAGACTAAACACCTAACAATAATTAGTCATTCCCTGTTTTAAAGCATGCTACATGACCATGCAGACCACTCACTATATTTAGACAAACCTAATTAACGTTTCACCAAATAAAGGTTTCAAAGAAAGGAATAATATACAAAGAAATTTATATATATGTATTGTTCATAGGTATTGTGGAGAATCCGATATAAAAAGCGGTGGATTCTCGTCAATGCTGACTTGGTGAAAATATAGTGAGTAAAGAAATAATCTGGTATTATTTCTTTACCTTTTTTTTTTTTCTTTTTTTTTGGAAAAACTATATTTTCCCTTCGTTCCCCGAATGACTTTGAATCCTTACAATTCTACACCAAGAACTTCATCAACTCCAGAAGGGAGTAATATTACAGTAGAAGGTGAATTAGACCGGCAGGCTGGTTATTCGTTTAACAGACATAATAGGAACGAAAGTGAAATTACGGTTGAAAGTTCAGCATTTTCATCAGATAGTGAAACAGAAGAGAATCATAAAAGGCTGAAAAGAAAAAAAAGGGTAGTCAGTGAGACGAACAGCCCCCCTCCCAATAGAAAACCATTTAAGATGTGGTTGATAAAGTTATTTTCGTATCTTCCGTGGAGTAAAAAAACTAAAAAGTCAAAGGATCCATCGTCTTCGTTACCAACGCATACGGTGCAGAAAGAGAAAGAAAAAAGGAGTTGCTGTTCGATCTTTTTATGGATAATGATAATAATGTTATTATCATCAATAATGGCCAATTTAATAGCTTTAGATATCATGTATGTTCGCATACCATCGCAAAACGAAACAACGGTGGTACAAGAAGACAACACTTCAGCAGTGGTATGCTCGACCCTTCTTGGATCTCCAGGGGAACTTCTTAAGTTGTTCCCTTGCGACCAATGTTTGAACAGCGGCAAGCAATTTTACAACGTAACTTCATTCTGCGTATTAAAAAGCATCTGGTTGAATTCGATTAATCAAACACGGATGGAGGCTCTCAATTGGATGAAAGATAGCAACTATTGTGGATGGGGTGGTGTCAAATGTGACGATTCAAAAAATATTATTGAGTTAAAGTTCACGTTCCCATTCGTTGCAAGAGCGATTACTTCTGTAATAGGCGAATTAAATACATTGAAGAAGTTGACGATAACTGGCGATGGTAAAGTTCCAAACGGCGCTTTACTCGCAAATTATTTTAAATTGGAAAACTTAGAAGAGATGAGCTTAATATCTACTGGGTTCACTGGACCCATTCCAAATAATTTGGGTAAAATGACTTCGTTAAGAAGTTTAAAAATCGTTAATAATACCCAATTGGGCGGCCCAATTCCCAGTGAAATATCTTCTTTGAAGTCCTTAAAGGAATTGGATTTAAGTAATAATCAGTTGTCTGGAGCCATTCCTGAATCACTTGGCACCTTGGACCTAAATAATTTGTAAGTATTAAAATAAGATTTATGAAAAAATGAAAAATATATATATGAATTAATTTTATTCTCTTTTTTTAGATCTTTAAGTGGTAATTCCTTGACCGGCGATGTTCCGAATAATATTTGTCAGAAAAGTTATGCGAGTTGCAACTTGGCTAACAATCAATTAACTGCCACAAACTGCGGAGAATGTTCTTTTGCGTAAAATTTGCCTGTATTATTATCACAAATAAATATATACAATAACTTCACATAAACTTAATGTAATAATATTATAGCACTACCATTAATATAATAAAATTATGTAAATTAAAATAATTATTATTGTAAACATCTAAACAATTTAACAATTCATATCATTGTTTCACCCGCGTTAGCTTCTTTCGTGTTCATCACGCGATGTTTACTTAAACATGGAAGTAAGATATCCCGGAATCTTGATCAGGTAAAAAAAACGCATGTCGCACGAAATTTATTAAGCGAAGGAGGCAGAAATTTTAAAAAGAATTCATTAATTCTGCATTATGTTTCTATATAGAATAAAAAAATAAAAATTTTTTATATTGAAAATTCTTAAATTCTTTCAGAAACTACTTTTTTGTTCATTTAATGAAGTTATTATTTATCAAAATATATCTACTAACTGCGTGATCGATCAGCGTGATCAAAAAGTTGTTAATCCATATCATTAGCATCATATAAACATATATGGGAATAATCGTCAAAGATCTTTTATATAAATTTTCTCTTCTTTTCGCAAGATAAAATTTTACCTTTTTTCCCTTTGCTTTTTTTTTATTAAATTTCAATTTACTAATTTATTTCGAGTTTATACATTGAAATCATCATTAATTGATTTCCTTGGAACACTAGTGTTGTTATTTTCATTTTTTTTTATTATTTTCCTTTCAACTCACGCACTCATCAATCATGTACAGAATTAGGTATGATATTTATCATCATCATTGGGTTTTTTTCCTTATCCTTTCGTTGTTTGTTAAGATATTTTCTTTACCTTTTTTTTATCTAGTGACCCAAGCCAATACTTGGTTAAAACTGGTGCACTTGTCAAAGATGTTTCCATCAAGAAAAAAGGATGGGTACTACCATGTAATTATGAGATTCTTCATCATAGCGATTTATCTAATCTCTTTCTTTGAATGATTCGCTAATCTCTATAATTCTCTCTCTCTCTCTCTCTCTCTCGTCGTCAGTTCAAAGGTCAACGTTCTTTGATATAACTCCAGCGAACTACACGTTGCAATTACAAGCGATGAGTGCTGAAAAATTGGAATTCAATCTTCCCGCAGTATTTACCATTGGTCCAAAGGATGAGCAAAATTCTTTGGAGCGGTACGCAAAACTTTTGGCGGCAAATGATAAGAACAGTGATCACGTGAAGGAATTGGTTCGTGGTATTATTGAAGGTGAAACTAGAGTTATTGCGGCCGCAATGACTATGGAAGAGATTTTTCAGGAAAGGAAAGGATTCAAAGATCAGGTCATTAAGAATGTTCAAGCGGAATTGGATCAATTCGGCTTGTTCATTTATAATGCTAACGTTAAACAACTTCAAGATACTCAAGGTTCCGAATACTTTGCTTATATGGTATGTGTCGTTGTTGAACATCATAATAATAATATATATATATATAATTTTTTACGCGTAATATTTACCAAAAAAAACTTTTTTGTTTTCTCCTTCCGCTTTGATTAATCTAGCGAATGAAAACGCATGAAGGTGCCGTGAATCAAGCAAAAGTGGATGTGGCCGAAGCGAAATATCGTGGTGACGTCGGCGCAAAGGACCGTGAAGGTTTAACGCGTCGCGAAACTTCAAAGATTGAATCGGAGACAATTTTGGTGGAAAATGAACGTCAGGTATCCGTGGCGCAAGCAAACATGAATTTGGCCACCAAAAAGTCGGAATTTGACCGTGCCACTAAGATCGCAGCCATTGAATCGGAACAAGCGGCAAAGATTCGTGAATCTGAACTTCAAAAAGAAGTTGAAGAGCGTCGATTATTATCGGAAACAGAACGTCTTCGGGTACAATACGTATCTAAGGCAACAGCTGAATTCGAAGCAGCTAAAGCCAACGCTAATGCGCGTTTGTATGAAAAGCAAAAAGAAGCCGAAGCTGAACTTTATAAGAAACAAAAAGAGGCAGAAGGTCTATTAGCAGTTTATAACGCTCAAGCTCAAGGTATAAAGAATTTAATGGAAGCCTTCGGCGGTGATCGTAATGCGGCTATTCAATATATCATGATTGAACGTGGTGTTTACCAACAATTGGCCAAAGAAAACGCTAGTGCCATCAAAGGTCTTAATCCTAAAATTACTGTTTGGAATACCGGGAATGAAGAACCCTCCGCGAATCCTGTAGCAAATATCTTTCAATCTTTACCTCCACTTTTGTCAACTATTCAAGAACAAACTGGAATCAGTCCTCCAAATTGGTTGGCTCAAATGCCAAATAAGTAATGCTACTTCTGTCACTACAAGTGATTAATGGGTTAATTTTAAGATAGAATTTTATATAATAATAGTTACAATGTACATATATATATTATTATTATAACTCTTTTCTAACCCGTTTTTCCCTTCCTATTCCTTTATTCTTTTATTCTTTTTTTTTTATCTTTCAATGAAATATATAGCTATTATAAAAGGTGACGTGAATTTAAAAGATTTAATATTTTTTAAGACAGATATAAAAATGCATAAATATATAAATAAATACAGTATATAATAAAAATTTAAAATTTAATTTTCTTTCACTTAAATCCTTTACTCTTAACTATGGCTTCACAAATTATACTGTAAATAAATAAAAATTTAAATAAAGATATTTTTAGATTCCAAATGAAAATATAACGAATGTTGTAAATATATTGTTGGTATAGCTGAGATATTGATCAAAATATTTTTTTTTTTTAGTTAAAGTTTATATCACAATAATAAATTATTTCGAAAATTACTATTTGCATTTATAGTATATAATTCTGATTCTAAAAAAATATATATCAGAGTTCATTAGTAAAAGAGCTAAAATGTTAAATAATTAATAAAGCTAAATAGAAGGATTCAAATTTTTTATTTTCCAATAATTATCTAATAACTAAATGTAAACTCAAATTTTTAACTTAACTTTAAAATTAGATAACATTTGTATAAATATTTCAGACATTTGTTTTTGGTATTTTTATAAAACTGTAATTTTTAAATTAAAGGTTTACTTTTAATACTTTTAATTCAATATATATTAACTTTAACTATTAAATCTTAATTATAACAAAAAAAAAAATATATAAATACAAGAAATTGAAAAAAAGTTAAAATATAACAGAAATATAAATGTTCATATATGATATAGCATATAGGTTAAAATATTTAGAAATATTAATAATACAGAAAAATAGTTTTAATAAATAATATATATATACTTAATTAACTAATAATAACTTATTCTTTATATAATTATGGAAGTTAGTATTTGAATTCTAATAAATTGAATTAAATATGCAAATTTTATTAAAACATATCATAATATATAACTTTTTTTTTGTTTTTAGTATTCTTGATTACTATCAGTTATAAAAACTTTGATAATTTAATATAAAGTGATTTTGATAGAATAATATAAAGAAAAAAACTGATTATAGTAGATAGAGATTTATATAATTTAATATTTGATCTTAGAGTTTAATTATTATTAAAAATATAATTTAAATTAGAAAATAATATCACTTTGAATAAGACAAATTAGGTGATGCCTACCTAAATTATTTTTATTATAACTAAACTTTTATCAAATTTTGTATTTAATTAAATCTTTGATTATTTTTATTAAAAATTATAGTTCAGCCAGATAGGATTATGCCAATTTTATTGCATCAATATTTATTATAATTATTCTATATAAAATATGATTATACAATAACAAGCTAATTAATTTTAAATATACTACTTCTATCTAACTTTATATAATTATTACACATTTTATGATAATTTTATATGCAAATTAATATTTGCCAATACTCCTAATTCTAATAATTCCTATAATTGTGTGGGTTTTATTTTAATTTTAACTTGATTATTAGATTTAAAGGTATTTAAAGAGTATTAGCTTCTAAAGATATAATATTTTGACGGTTGGATTGCTTAAATACTGAAAAAAAATAAAGTTTACTAAGAAAATGTTTTATATAATTATTTGTTAAGTAACAAAATAATACCTTCTTTTGCAGTTAAAAATGTTCTATTTACTTGTACTTTATTTATATTCATTGAATTTATTAGAGAAATATTATCAGTTGCTATATTTGAATAATTTTAATATTAAATAATTGGTTAATGTTAAAAATAGAAAAAATTTGAAGAACCTACATGTTTTTTTGTGAATTTCATTTGTTAATAAAGTCATTATATCTAGTTACTACTGATCATGAGAAAGAATGTAAGATTGAAGTCTTTGGTCAGATTATAATAAGATTAATATCTAATACAATCTGTATTTTGACCAAGATGCTGTAATGCTTAAACTATAGTTTTTTTGCCTACATGATTTGTAATTTTTCTATTATTAAGATTAATCTCTGTCATAACACAAATTTCTTTCATCAATTTCTTTAATCATATTTCACCAATATGATAACATTTAAATCAGTTTCTAGTTTAAAAAACTATATAATAAAAAGTTAAGCAAAATAAAACAACTTTATAAAATTAATAGCTTTAATTTACCTGTTTCTTCTTCAACTTCTTAGAAATAAAAATTAGGTTCAGTATTAATAGATTGTAAACTAATATACCTATTATAATCATTTATTAATATTAAATTATTAGGAAGGATTAACTTTTCTTCTTTTTCACGATGATTAGTATTAACTCTTTGATTAGCTTTGATCTAAAAATCCAAACATTAAAATCTCTATCAGATCTTTTTTTAAAGTTATCTATCATTAAGCTTAAATGTTTACCACTACATAATTCAAGAAGAATTATATTATAAAAAATCCAATATAATAGTCTTCTCAGAGTACTACTATTTATCTTTTGATGATTAAGAATTTGAATAATTTCATTAATAATTAGAGCATCAGATCCTTTAGATTTATTTAAACTAAAATTAGAAAGATACTTGATTTTTCTATTAAAAACTATCCATAAATTTGAAAAAAAAGATTCTTGTTGAATATCTACATCTTTAATAGCAAAAATTATCAATTAAGTGTTACCTAATCGCTACAATAGCTGCCTGAATAAAATTTGCTAAGTATTCTTGATCATTTTATTATTTCATTGTAATAATATATTTTGATAATTATTAATCTAACTTAGTTTCTATTATGATTTCATTAATTGTTCTAATAAAACCTATTTTTTACGAAATTTTTCTAATGATATTACTCAATTTTTAATAGAGACTTTAGTATTCTTTACTTTATCAAATTTTTTAAAGAATCCTACACATTCATAAGAGGTTGCAATTTTAGATAGCTAAAAAAAAAGATATCAAAATACATTAGATATATTAAATAAAATAAAAAAAATAATAAATAAAATGTAAATAATGTTTACCTTAGCAGTTTGGATATGTTTATTACTGTCTTGTGACATTTTTGTAATATTCTTTAAAATGAACAAATTTACTTTTAAGAAAAGAAGAAAAAAATAAAATAATTTGTAAAACTAGAAGGCATAAAATTATTTATAGTTTAAAATAAAGCTTATTTAATTTTGTAATACTATAAACTAAATAAAAGTTTATTTAAACGTAATAAAAATCTTATTTTTATTAAAAAACTAACTAGGCATGATCTTTGAAATCTTAACTATAATATTATTATTTAATATTTATTAATTTTAACTTAAATCTTTTATTATTTATTATTAATTAAATAAATAATTAAAAAATATTATTAATTAATATTATAGATATTATTTATATAGGAGTTTACTAGAAAAATCAGGTTCTGAGAATTTTTTGACTAAAATTAAAATCTTATTTAATTTAATAATATTATGATAATTTTGAATTTATTAGAATTATTTTAATAAAAAAATTTGATAGTAATAAAATCGTATTTCTAATATTAATATTAACTAAATTATTATAAAAAACATATTTATTATACATCATTTATGAGTTAAATGAAAGATATTCAAGATTCTATTCTTACATCTTCAGAATATTTACTAAAAACTTAATTTAATAAATCTTCACAAAATATACAATTGTAAAATCTTTTATAGCTAAATAATAATATATATAATTTTTAAATACTATATAAACTTAGTTTTAGTAATAAAAATTTAAATTATTTTTGTTTAATTATCTATATTTTCTTAAAAATTATTTATAAATATATTAGATTAAAATACTTTTAAATTAATGTGTAGTATTTTTAGATAAAGTATCAAGATCTATACTTGAGATATTATATTTTATGATAATATTAAGATATTTTATTAAACTTCCTTTATTTTTAAATTATTTTTCATATATATTATACTTAAATTTTGAATTAAGAACTGTTAAAATTATCGGTGATGAAAGAAAACAAATATTTTAATTCATATTATCTAAATAAAAAAATAAAAATAAGTTGTAAATATTAATTTAAATACAGTTAATACTCTTTATAACAAACTGACGATTTCATTAAAAAAAAGTTTATTATATAAATTACTATGCTTTTTATTGAATTATTTTACTTTTTATAATAAACTATTATTAAAATTTAAAAAATTATGAGTTTGTTATATTTAGCGTTCATTATAAAGAAATTTATTATAACTAGCTTTAATTATATATTTTATATATAATAATTAAATTTACTCATATAGCAGATATTTGTATGATTAGTCAATTTTTATGTTGATCATTTCCTAATTATTATCATAATAATTGATTTTGTTTGTTCAATTTTATTATTAAATTAATATAATATTAATATCACATTATTTTATAAAAATTATTAATTAATTTTTCATAAATATTTCAAGTATTATTTTAAATTATTATGTAATTTGAAAATCAAATAATATTTGCTTTGATAAATCTTTAGGTTCATCATTTTTTATTAATTGAATTTCATCTTCTTGATCAATTTTATCTTTAAAATTTTCTTTAGTAATTCTAGAAATAATAGATTTTACATTATTATTAATTTTATTTTTAATATATTTTAAATAATATAAACATTTATACTTAAGATATTGTAAACAATATTGATAATAAATATGATCACATGAAAGAGAAATAAAGTTCATTAAGATATAAGAAGTAAAATCATTAGATGCTAATTATAATATTTTACAAGCATCTTATAGATGATACTTTTCTAATAAATTAAATAGTATATATTCTGAATTAAAAGTTATTGGTAAATGTTATTCATTTACATTTATATTAAAAATTATAAGATAACATGAAAACTTATTTTTTTCATATTGATTAATTTTTATCTATTTGCTTT